ACCTGATAATTAACTAGCATCACTCCTCCATGGGGGCCTGACTGGCCAGTCCCATGAATGCTTCAGAATCCTAAACTATGACTGGGTGTTAATCTCACATGATTTAAGCCTCTTCCAGATCCAAATGGCATTTAAATCATTTGAGGAAGAAGCACGATCACAGCTGGAAGAAAGGGGACTTCACAGAACTGCCCTCTTTGAGCATATCTGAAGCAAAACTCGGGGCACCCAGCAGTTACACCACCACAGATTGTGTTTTACAGCACCTTACGAGCTAAGTGTGTGCAAGCACCTCAGTATTTATTATAAAAATCAATCAAGTTAATGACCTTGAATGAAGACAGCAAATTAGCACCTCCTCCCCCAAAGCATCACAACTGGGACACAATGCAGGGGAAAGACAAAGCCTTCCTTCCTGCCAGCTCAGTTCCTAAACGAGACTCCTTTGTGAGCTTTGGCCCTGCTCTCACAATAGCACTCTGTCAAGCTCCCATAGAGGACTGAACAGTGCACTTCAGCAGAGTTGGATTTTAAAGAGGCTGTGTAACCATAGCACATTTCGATGCTGATTTGATATCTGATGGGGGAACTCCGCTGAGCATTGAGTGACTCACCCTGCCCTACTTTCATGACGATCTTCATGGACCGTGTCTGGCAAACCCCGCCTTCTCTGTTCTCCAGGCCATCCAGAGTCCCATTGGAAGTGGCTGCAGGAAAAAAGAAATGACTCTGTTAACAAGCAGTTGTGAAACATGGAAGGGTCTTCAAGAAGGCAAAAGGGGGTCCCCTAGAATAGCCTTGGGAGGCAGCATCCCATGAAGAGTGGTTTAGTTACTGGGATCTCAGTTTGGTATTGAGCCAGTCTATAGGAATGGGGAGCAATTTAAAGATGATGTCTTATGTAGCACTAAGTGTGTGGAGGCCTTTGTGGTGGTTTCTTTGTACATCTTCAGCCGGGTTTCCTTTGCTATGCATGGGGGAGGGATGCAGTGCTGTAGACCTCCATTCTGTGGTTCGTCACTTCTGAGTACCCATTTAGGAGCCTCTCAAGGAAAACCAGAAGGCTTCTAATATTCTTATCACAGAATCTTGCTTAGAAGCATTGCTGAGTAACAGAAGGACTTTAACAGAAGAAAATTTCATAAATTATCAGGAAAACCTCCTCCAGGACACAGTTAAGCTACGGGATAGTATTATGTGGGCCCCACAAAGGGTGCTTCCATTTCTTCCCTGGGGTGCATGTTTCTCCCCATGTTCTCACACCCCTGCCCACACATAGTTTGAGGTCAGGATATCAGTGGGCTTCCCCATTCTGCACCCCTGCGCACGTGGTAAATGTTGTTCAATACACTGCACTCTGGTCTTCTCCAGTCTTCCCCAAATCCCGACTGCTCCACCTCCCAATTCTATTCACTATAAACCTCCAGCCCATTAAAATGGTTACCCCGATGCTTGAACTGGTTGCTGAGCTGCTAATTAGATTGTACTCCAAAGGAAAGAGAGAGGCAGAGCCTGACAAAGGCCAAAGCTCCCACTCCACAGCCATGGCACAATGGGGATAAAAGCTGTAGAGAGGCAGCCGGGGCACCAGAGGAGAGGAATGCTCTGGAGGCTGAACTTTCCAAGCCATAAAACTGAGAGATTCTCTCCCCCCTTCTGTCTCCCCTTAATAGGGAGCTTGTTAACCCCATGAGGACAAAACATGAAATGTTCTTTTCACCAACCTGTCGCCCTCCCCCTCTTTGGACTGGTTAATGGCTTTCTGAGCAGCCTAGGGCACTAGCCTAGTACTTAAGGGACTGCGCTTCTACTCAGAAAAGCCATGGCAGTTGATGGATGGACCACAGCCTTCTTACAGATGGGAGGGAGGCCTGTGGACTTCTTTCCACATTACTCCAATTACTCCAAAGAGGTGCAGCTGAAACAGTGACTAAGTTCAGATGTTGGAATGTGTGTTGCTTTGTCCAGAAGCTGACTAACTCACTCTGCTCTTTCTAGTATGGCTGGAGGAGACCGCTGGACCATCTCTGCAGCACTATTCCAAGCACATGCAGCAGAGAAAGGGCACAGCAGGGGGTGTATGCATGCCCTTATAATGCACCATGGTGTCCAGTACTGTACTGGTCTCAGCTTTGCATTCCAAAGACCAAAGCCTGACAGCACTAAGAATGCTTATCTGAGGGTCACAGGTTCTGTGCCACTAAGCTGCTAGGCCGTCTTGTTTAGGGAAGGGGGTGGGGGACATGCTACTGTGGAAAAATGTTCACATGCGTATGGCACTGCACTTTGATGCAGGAGAACCAGTTTCAGTCCCTGACTCCAACACAGCTTTCCTGTGTGACCTTGGGCAAATCATTTAAACCTTTTGTAAAACGGGGACAGAAACTTCCCAAAGTTTTCAAACTTCCCAAATATTGTAAAGTGTGAGGAGGCCACAATTGCATTTCATCCCTCCATAGCACAAAATAAGGAAAACATCAGGAGCTGTATTTATGAACAAGAACACAGTGATGCTGGTTATGTTTTGCTCTGCATTGCATGCAAGATGTAAGTCATAGCGCAGGAAGGAATTACTTCCTGCACTACAACACTGTTGCCACGGAAAGTCACAGGAAGAGTGGATGCTTCCCAGCACACAGCAATGCAGGAGCCACTGTAAAAAGACCATATTTGGCAAGGTGAAAATGCATCCCCCACTCCCAAATGCTTCATCTCCAAGTCAACGGAAGCAAGAAATTCTAATCCCCCCACTCCTTGGAGCATACGATAGGAACACTTATGCATGTGCAGCACATTATACATATATAATTACACAGTGTGCCTCAGTAAAGAATGTAAACTCAGAGCCCCAGTGGGTTTGAATGGCTGTAATTGCAGGGCAGAAGTCAGTTAAACTCACTTTGGGGGGGAGGGAGGGGAGAAAGGGGGTGAGGGCAGCGCTCGGTTTTTAGTCCTGGTCCTGTGGGAGCATTGCGAGCCACGCATCTCCTGCTGTTGCTGAGCAGAAAATGACACAGCAACATGTCTGTGAGCCCTCTCCCATGACCGGGGATAGCTCTGATGAACCCGCCTGCTCTGTAGCCAGGACTGGGGGTCGTATGCGGTTAGGAGATTGGTTAGACTGTATACATGCCTAACAAGCACCATGTAATTACTGAGGGAGACAAACAGCTATGTCTTTCTGAATTTAATGCGATGCCCCAGGATAATCTTGACCTCCCAGGAGTGGTGTGCTGTGGGTGGGACGTACTCTCCTAGACCAGACTCCTTTGACTTAGTTCTTCCCACCTTTGCCTTTCCAGCCCTCCGGCAGACAGAGCTGGGGGCACTTTCTGACTAAAACCAGCGAGATCGCCACTAGTTACAACTATGGTTATGGGACCAAACAAGCAGTCAAAAGCCAGACTAATCTAATTGTATCTGGGAACTCAACTCCACCCTGCTTGAAGGGTCTAGCTGCCTCCTCACTTCTGACCTCTCCACTCCATAGAGATCCCAGCTCCTGAAGCTATGAAGGGCTGATCCTTCCATGCACAGCACCGGAACGAGTTTGTGACAACTGTCTTGGCTACCCTTTGGATACAGTGCCAAATCAGTCACAGAACCCTCTTCTTCTGGGTGCACCTTTTGAAGAGCTTCAGAAGTGCATGAGAACCCTGTCAGAAGGCAGAACTGCAGGCAGAGGATCTACTCGCTTTTTGGACTCAACACTTCTTCAAAAACCTAAATATTCAAGCAGAAGATGTCCCATCAGCAAGAGACAAATCGCTATCCACCCAGCCCCAGAGCAGTTAATTTAAGTTCTGCACAAACCACCAGTCAGAGGTGAATTTGCAACCTACATTTCAGGGCTCTATTCTGGGTTCAGACAGTCATCAGTACTGCAATGAAATCTTCACCCTGTACTTTTTTTGGTGGGGGGAAAAGTGGGAGGAACAGTGGAGTAGGTGAGAGAAGGCAGCACAAACCCCTTGCTCACAGAGCAGGAGCTTACCTTATTTGGTTAGCTACACAGCACTCCTACAGAAAAAAGCAAAACTGCTTTCAGAAGTACAAATGCTCAAGAGAACCTGCTCACGTGGAGGGACCCAGCAATGTAGGACAGGGTTTGCAGTAAGGAATGCTGAAGCCTCGTGAATAACCTTCTGGAGACGACGATGTGTAAAATGGAATTTGGCCAGGGCAGCAGAGCTAACTTCTATCCCCTACTCACCAAAGAGGAGTTTCATGTTACCTGCAAAGCCCCATCCCTACCACTACTCTGTAGCACAACCAGTCAAGTCTTATATTAAGGGGAAGAGACAAGAAGTGACAGATGGCCGACTGGAACAAAGCCATCACACAACAAGAAAACCTTTACTGTTATGAACCTAATTTGTTCTGTTAGATAGGTATGGGGAGGGGCAGTGTCTCTTTCCTAATGATGATCTTATACAAATGGACACGGTTGTTTAACTATGGTGCCTTGAGGAAGGGACTGGCTCCTAAGCTTACTGAAATTTGCTGATGCTCTGAAGTTGGAAATCTATTACCCTATGGTTGGCCTACGTGGACAAGTTAACTGGGATTAAAGTAGGGTGTGAATTCAAAGTGCAAGAGCTCTATTGCTGGAAACCTTCACATGTATACAAGCCCTTTGTATGAAGTGACTACAAAAGGTTGTAGTGATCAAAGTTAGCCAGCCACAGGATGACTTCATGGCCCTCCCATGGCAGCAGTTTCACAGGCCAGTTTTTACAGACTTCACTGAGTGAAGTCATATTTCCTTACATGTCTATAGTTCGCAGGCCATTAGTTTTAAAAGCACTGTCAACAACTGGATGGGAAGAGACCAGGGGAAATTTCCCCTTTGAGAACCGTGCCAATCATTCCCAGCTCTCAGTCAGGCCATGAACCCAAGCCCTTCACAGATGTGTCTTCTAGAAACAATTCCACTCAGAACAAGCAGCAGCTCTGGGGTGAGAAGAAGAGAAACGGGGTCCTCTTCATCCTCCTACCCACCTTCACTTAAATTCAAACCAAGTCCTTGATCTTCAAATTTTCTAAACTATCACTATTGCCATTTTAGCCCCAGCTGCACATTTACTCTTATTCTCATGCTGAATTATTGTCTCGTCCCACTGACTATGCTGCCATTTGGGTTATGGCTGTTAGAAGATATAACCCACAGACAGTAGCATGCTCTATTCCACTCAGGTGCAACAGGAGCTCCAATAAGGCACATAGCATCAGGAAGATGAGCAGATCTACAACAAGCCCCCTGTACCACCGTGGTCTCAGTGAGCTGTGGGGAGTCAGTCACTTGTTCTCAGAAACAGAAGTATATGGTCTCCTTGTAATCATCTGAACCACAAAGCCCAAGCTGCCCCTCGATTGTGGGAAGACTCCACACAACTTAAGGATTGAAACGTGCACCCCCAAGGGCCCCAATCCGTTTCCGGCCTGCAGGCACCTGCTCCGGAAGGAAAAAGAAGATGGCAATGCCCAAGAGCACAGTTCTAAAGCGGTTTCATGTAAAAAGACCACCACACCCCCACCAACATTACAAGAATCCCATGGAAGGAGATCAAGCGCAGACTACAGCCCACCTGGATATGGCAGCTGGCCCTACTTTGATGGACATATTACATTATATTAATCTTGTAAATCAAAAATATGGACATATTACAAGATATTAATCTTGTAAATCAAAAATCAAAAAATATTC